TCTCAACTTTCCTTCAACTTTCGTGTAAGGAGGAACCTGCCGCCCCGCCCGCCCCCTCGCCCCGGCGATCCGCATTTGAACCCCGCAGGGCCGGCCCTCCACCTTGCGCCGCCCTACGCGCACGCGGGGAGCCCTGATGAGTTCTCCCGCAGGAGCGTGAGCGAGGGTTCGGCCGCCACCCTGGGCCCCGGCGCCGGGGCTTGTCCCGTGGGGACCTCTGAGCAGCGGCGCTGGGCAAAGACCGCGGACGATGACCGTGTGGCCCCTGGGAACTTCAGCATAGTAATGCCAACATGTAAGTCTCACCTTTTGGCTCAAATCTCCTTCACACCTTTATCTGCATCCCTCCTCCCCCCACTCCCTTCAACTAAATGATTTTGTAAAGACTTCGACCGTATTGACAAAATAAACCGGTTTGTCTTCAGTTTGCCTCCGAGGCACTGAGGAGCGAGCTGGTATTGCCAGACAGAGCTGTGACATGTGTGTGGCTTCCCTTTTTTTTTTTTTTAATCCGGAGAGAGGTAAACCTCACATTTGGGCGGTGTAAAGCATAATAAAAAGGGCAGGGCTTCAAGAATGGGGAAAGCGTGTTTTCGATTCAAATTAAATAAGGAATAACAGGCAAGGCTCCTCCATCCAGGGCCTTGCCCTGCCAAGAAGGCGCTCTCCTGGATCAACACCTGGGGGCTTGGAAGGTACTGGTACGCTGAGAAAATGTTGACTTTACAGATTGTCACCTTTGACTGTAGAAGTTATTCTTGGATCTTTGGGTTATTAAAATGGTTAAAAAAAAAAAACTCGTAGTAAAGGTTCTTGGTTGTACTTTGCAGATTAAAAAGTAATTAAGGAATATGTCATTTATGTGATAGAGTCTGTGAGGAGGGCTTGTATAGAATTAGAAGTGATAGTTATAGGGCGAAGAAAAGGTTAGAGAAACCTAATAGGTTTTGCTTCTATAGATTTATCATCTGAGTTGGTGAGGTGCCTCAGGACGCTCCCGTGAAAGGGCCACTGAGCACCGACTGTCCTTCCAGAATGGAAAAAGGGAAGATTGTTCTCAAAAGGACCAAGCTTATTTTTGTGGCCAAGTCAGAAGTTACTTTTTCTTCGAATATGTAATTTTACCTCTGGTGTTTTATTTAATCTTTGGCAGACACCTTGATAGACATTTTACTCCCTTCCACTAACGAATAAACAAGAGCTTCTAGAAATTGATAGTCACCCTCCCTCTCTCAACTAATGGCTCCTTATTTATTTCCACTTAAATTTCCTCTTTTAGCTTAATATCCTGGAAAAGACATACCCCTCAGGCCAGG